CCACCCTCTCGGCCTGCCTCCTCTGTAACCCTCCCTCCTTCCTCCCTCCCGCAGGTCTCTTTGTTGGAAAATTCAAGGCAGATGAATGCTGGGGAGCACTGGGCCTGCGGGCCAGGCGCTGAGCCTGCAGCTTGGCTTCAGCATGTCTGCCTGCCCCGGGGACGGGACAAGGGCTGGCCAGCACCCAGTCTGCTGGGTGATTCTGCAAGCGGAACAGCAGCGCCAGGGGAGCTGGACCCACGCTCGCCAGGGCAAGGCATGGGCTGCCTGTCCATAGAAGGATTTTTCTTGCCCCCTGTTCTTGGCTGTGTTGTGCCCAGCCCCCAGCAGGACTCAAAACGTGGGAAAATCTGAAACCGGGCTGCCCTGATGGATGCTAAACTAAAAGCAGTCCCTTTGAAATCAGCCCTGGGCAGATGTTTTCCCTGGGCTGTGGTGGCTCCTGCCAAAAGGAAAGGCTTTTAGAGAACTGAGAGAGCCTGAGCTCCTTCTGGGTCTGCTCTTTTGGGATTCCCGGGTTCAGACCCCATCATCTGGGGCTCTTTCCAGCACATTCGCAGGATGGTTTTCCCTGCCAGCACATCCATGGGGCAGTTCCCTCTCATGGCTGCCTCCCCCTGCATCCTCGGAGGAGAAACGTGGCACTGCTCACAGCTCCCCCAGAGGCTGCTCCGTTGGCGGCTTCTGACGTGAACCTGCGGTCTCGTTCGTGTGAGAAGTCTGACTTGAAGAGAGTGGTGAGAGGTGGGGGAGGAAGGCTGCAGCTCAGGGTTGAGGCTGAGGCTGGAGAGGAATGCAGGGCATGAATAGCTGGGATGGGATGAGGGGTGACAGACATGAGCAGGACTGCAGAGATATTCCTGCTCGACATGTGCCTGGCTCCAGCACTATCAGTTTTTGTTCTGTAAAGTCTAAATATATAATCCATTGTGCTTTGGCATCTGGGTGATAAATACTGGTAAATAATGTAGTGTCTGGGGAAGGAGGGAGCAAACTGCTCTGAGGTGGAACTGATCCCTGGGATATCTGGGGCAGCAGTGGGATGATAGCAAGTCCCTCGTCATTCCTCTCAGCACAGAGAGAGCTTGTTCTGCACCAGACATCGCAGTTGAGGGTGGGTGGGGGTCCTGGAGGTTGGTTTCCTCAGTCCCCAGAGTGGAGTACTTCATTTGTGCTTAGCAGTTGGTCACCCTGACCTTGCAAGTAGATCACCCTGTCCCTTCCCCTACAGGCAGGTCTCTGCGTCCCTGAGCAGGCAGCACACAGCACTGAAAATTGGCTCTGCTTGAAGTTCTCTCTAGGAATTGGATGAAGTCCAGGCTGCTGGCGACAGCATGAATGGATGCTAGTGCAGCCAGGCCAAGTGTGTGTGCACTTGGAAGTGAGGAGACAGCAACTTGCCTGCATTGGAAAGGGTTGAGATGGGCACTAAAGAGGTCCTGGCAGGACTGCCTGTGTTTGACACTCAGCCTGGGCTGTAGGGGCTTTGGGCAGAGGCTGGCGTAAGACACGCTGAAGAAGTACTAAGCCAGCATGGTTTTAATCCATCCTCACTGCTCCTTTCCTGCTTTTTCCTGCTTCTCCATCTGTGCAGGAGGAATTAACGCACATCCTGGGAGTGGATTAGACTGCTCGGACTGTGACCTTCTCATCTGTGCCTTCCAGGGAAGGATAGCATTTGTCCAGTCCCTTTACAGGCTCTCTAGTTAGGGCAAGGATTGTGAATGCCAGCTGCCAGCAAAGACGTGGCAACATTCTGCCTTTCACCTCATGGGACAGCCCTTTGCTGAGCGTGCGTGATACTGGAGCAACCAGTGGGGCTGGCAGGGTGGAGTGAGTCTGCTCCCCATGTTTTGGCCTCCCAGCCCTCTTCATTTGCCTTTTGCTGTTGCCTTGCGAGTGTTGGTGAGCCTTGCCACCCTGTTCTCAGTGGCAGTTTGGGCAGCAGTTGGCGCAGCAGGGAGTACAGAGTTTCTGTTTCTCCAAGCCATAGTGTGCTGGGACTCGATGGCAGTGCCTGGACAGCCCAGCAGTCTGGGGCAATGGGACACAGCTCTGCATCCCACAGTTGCATCCTCTTTGATTCTTTGTGAGTTGGGGACTGGCTTGGGGACCCTTCAGAGCTGTTCATGGGATCCCACCTCTGTGTACTCTATTAGTTACTTATAAACTGCTACTTTTTAATATATTATTTCCCTTCGTTTCACATTTGTTCTTTTGTTCTTTGTCTGCTGGATTCTTCCCCTCCCACAAAAAAAAAATAAATTCACAGTTTCATTACTACTTTTTTTTTTTAAAGCACAATATATGTCAAGCTACCTTAGATATAGCTTGGAAGGGGAAATTAATATCACAAACTACTTGCAAGATATTTTTGTATTTAATGAGTGCTTAAAATGTCATTGAGTAGGAAAGAAACTGAGCTTGTTAAAGCCTGTTTTACCATTAAGTTTGATCAAAGATTGTATTAATTGAATCCAGTGAATTAACAAGTTGTTTTGATTGCATACTCAGTGTGGAAAAAGTATGTAGGTGCCAGCAATATGTAAAATAGAATAAAATTTCTTTCTAAAGAAAAATGATGTTTTTAATGTTGGGAGGGAAAATTATCAATAGTCCCTCCATTATGAAGACTGACAATAATGTAGCTGTTTGTGTAATGCAGGAATATGACATTGTGGCACAACTATAAAGCTTGAAGTGATGTTGAAATATTATGTAGGTAATTAAAAAGCAACAGTAACATTTGGGAAGCAGCATGTTTAATGTGTTGCACTTTCATCTATTAGAAATCTCTGGCATAGGTTGTGATTCTTTCAGATCATTATAGAGAGGTTTAAATTGTGTTTATTTAGAGAGAAGCAAACTGGTGGAAATATGTCTGCTGGAAATGCAATACAGCAGAGCAAAAAAGGTCTAGGAGGTTCCTGGAGTGTGTGGAAGATAACTTCTTGACACAGCTGGTGAGAGACCCAGCTAGGAAAGATGTCCACTGGACCTGTTGTTTGTGAGCAGAGAAGGACTTGTGGGTGATGTGATGGTTGGAGGCCATCTTGGGCACAGCTATGACAAAATGATAGGGTTTTAAATTCTCCTGAGCTGGGAGATGGAGACAGGGACAGGAAGCAGAATGAAGCCCCCGTAATCCAAGGGGAAATGGTCAGTGGCCTGCTATACCACTTAGATACACACAAGTCTATGGGGCCAGATGGGATCCAGCCAAGGGTACTAAGGAAGCTGGCAGTAGTGCTCACCAAGCCACTTCCCATCATTTATCAGCAGTCCTGGCTCGGTGGGGAGGTCACAGCTGACTGGAAGTTAACAGATGTGGTGCCTGGCTACAAGAAGGGCTGGAAGGAGGATCCAGGGAGCTACAGGCTTGTCAGTCTGACCTCAGTGCTGGGGAGGGTTATGGCAGTGATCATCTTGAGTGCCTCCATGTGGAATGTACAAGTCAACCAGATGATGAGGCCCAGTCAGCATAGATTTATGAAAGGTAGATCCTGCTTGACTAACCTGATCTCCTTCTATTACACAGTGACCAGCTTAGTAGGTGAGGGAAAGCCTGTGAATGTTGTTTACCTGGACTTTAGTAAAGGCTTTGACACAATTTCCCTCAGCATTCTTCTAGAGAAACTGGCTACTCATGGCTTGGATGGATATACGGTTCTCTGGGTAAAAAAACAGCTGGGTAGCCAAGCCCAACAAGTGGTGGTGAATGGAGTTAAATCCAGTTGGTGGCCAGTCACAAGTGGTGTTCCCAAGGGCTCAGTACTGGAGCCAGTTCTGTTTAATATCTTTATCAGTGATCTGGACAACTGGATTGAGTGCACCCTCAGTAATTTTGCAGATGACACCAAGTTGGGTGGGAGTGTTGGTCAGCTGGAGGGTAGGAAGGCTCTGCAGAGGGATCTGGACAGGCTGGATCAATCAGCTGAGGCCAATGCTAGGAGGTTCAACAAGGTAAAGTACTGGGTCCTGCCCCTGGGTCACAACAACCCCATGCAATGCTACAGGCTTGGGGGAGAGTGGCTGGGGGAAGGCAGGACCTTGGGGTGCTGATTGATGACTGAACATGAGCCAGCTTGTGCCCAGGCAGCCAAGAAGGCCAATGACATCCTGCCCTGTATCAGCAATAGCACAGCCAGGAAAGTGTACATCCCCCTGTACTTGGCACTGGTGAGGCTGCACCTCGAATCCTGTGTTCAGTTCTGGGCCCCTCACTACAGGAGAGATATTGAGGTGCTGGAGCAGGTCCAGAGATGGCCAACAAAGCTGGTGAAGGGTCTGGAGCACAAGTCTTACGAGGAATGGCTGAGGGAACTGGGGCTGTTCAGCCTGGAGAAAAGGAGGCTCAGGGGAGACCTTATCACTCTCTACAGCGACCTGACAGGAGAGTGTAGTGAGGTGGGTGTCAGTCTCTTCTCCCAAGCAATAGAACAAGAGGAAATGAACCTGAGTTGCGCCAGGGAAGGTTTAGATCGGATATTAAGAAAAATTCCTTCACTGAAATGGTTTTCAAGCATTGGAATAGGCTGTGCAGGGATGTGGTGGAGTCACCATTCCTGGAGGTATTTGGAAGATACGTGGATGTGGCGCTCAGGGATATGGTTTAGTGGTGGACTTTGCAGTGCTGGGTTAATGGTTGGACTTCATGGTGTTAAAGGTATTTTCCAACCTAAATGGTGCTATGATTCTGATATGCATCTGATTTTAATTCTTTTTCTTTATTAAAATGTGAATTGGGGGATAAAACAGCTGGATGCAAACGGGAGAGCCTGTTTTTCCCATCTCTCCAGCCTGCCAATCATAGCTGTGGGCATAGAAAGCCATAGCCAAGCCGGAAGAGGGAGC